CTGGCACCCTCCATGTCCCCACTGCCACCACCACCCAGGTCCCCATCCCCAGCACCCCCAGTGCCCCCCACATCCCCAGCACCCCCCACCCTCGGCACCCACCGGGATGTGGCTCTTGTAGACGTAGTGGTCGCCGCGGCGCTTGGTGATGAGGAGGGTCTTGTCGAAGAGGAAGACGGCGCGCTCGTGGCGCACCCGCTGCACCCGGAAGGTGCCCTCCAGCACCAGCTCCCCGTAGCTGGTCAGGTCTGGGCCCTTCCACCCCAGCAGCAGCGACTGGATCTCCTGCACCCGGGGACAGGGGACATCAGGCCACCCGTTGTCGCTGCCACAGTGGTGGTGGTGCCCGCCCGGTGCCAGCCGCCGGTGCCCACCTGCTGGCGGATGGCGTGCTCGTGCTTGCGCTTCATGTCGTTGATGTACCAGGCCACGCAGGTCATGGTGTCGATGGCCTCCAGCACCACCTCGTAGTCCTCCCCCGACTTGTGCTCAAAGTGCTTGGCGATCTCCTGCCGGCAAAGGACATGGCATCAGGGCAGTGCCAACGGGGCTGCGGTGATCAGTGCTGGGGGCTGTGCCATGTCAGGGGACAAGCTGTGCCAGGGAAGGGTGCCTGTGCCATGCCATGGGGACCAGCTTGGCCAGGAAAAGGTGTCCGTGCCATGCCAGTGGACAAGCTGTGCCAGGGAAGGGTGTCCATGCCATGCCAGTGGACAAGCTGTGCCAGGGAAAGGTGCCCACACCATTCCAGGGGAGCAGGCTGTGCCAGGGAAAGGTGTCCGTGCCACACCAGGGGACCAGCCATGACAGGGAAGGGTCATTGTGCCATGCCAGGGCATCAGCTGTGCCAGGAAGATGTGCCCATGCCATGCCAGGGGACAAGCTGTGCCAGGGAAAGGTGCCTACACCATTCCAGGGGACCAGCTGTGCCAGGGAAGGGTGCCTGTGCCATGCCATGGGGACCAGCTTGGCCAGGAAAAGGTGTCCGTGCCATGCCATGGGGGCAGGCTGTGCCAGGAAAAGGTGTCCGTGCCATGCCATGGGAGCAGGCTGTGCCAGGAAAAGGCGTCCATGCCATGCCAGTGGACAAGCTGTGCCAGGAAAAGGTGCCTACACCATTCCAGAGGAGCAGGCTGTGCCAGGGAAAGGTGCCCAGGCCATTCCAGGGGACCAGCTGTGCCAGTGAAGGGTGCCTGTGCCAGGAAAAGGTGTCCGTGCCACACCAGGGGACCAGCCGTGCCAGGAAAAGGCGCACATGCCATGTTGGGGAACCAGGCTGTGCCAGGGAAGGGTGCCCGTGCCATGCCATGTGCCAGGCTGTGCCAGGAAAGGGTGCCAGCACCATGCCGGGGGAGCGGGTTGTGCCAGGGAAGGGTCCCTGTGCCAAGCTGGGGAACCAGCTGTGCCAAGGAAGGGTGCCCATGCCATGGCAGGGGATGAGCTGTGCCAGGGAAGGGTGTCTTTGCCATGCCAAGGGACCAGGCTGTGCCAGAGAAGGGCTGGCACCCTCCATGTCCCCACTGCCACCACCACCCAGGTCCCCATCCCCAGCACCCCCAGTGCCCCCCACATCCCCAGCACCCCCCACCCTCGGCACCCACCGGGATGTGGCTCTTGTAGACGTAGTGGTCGCCGCGGCGCTTGGTGATGAGGAGGGTCTTGTCGAAGAGGAAGACGGCGCGCTCGTGGCGCACCCGCTGCACCCGGAAGGTGCCCTCCAGCACCAGCTCCCCGTAGCTGGTCAGGTCTGGGCCCTTCCACCCCAGCAGCAGCGACTGGATCTCCTGCACCCGGGGACAGGGGACATCAGGCCACCCGTTGTCGCTGCCACAGTGGTGGTGGTGCCCGCCCGGTGCCAGCCGCCGGTGCCCACCTGCTGGCGGATGGCGTGCTCGTGCTTGCGCTTCATGTCGTTGATGTACCAGGCCACGCAGGTCATGGTGTCGATGGCCTCCAGCACCACCTCGTAGTCCTCCCCCGACTTGTGCTCAAAGTGCTTGGCGATCTCCTGCCGGCAAAGGACATGGCATCAGGGCAGTGCCAACGGGGCTGCGGTGATCAGTGCTGGGGGCTGTGCCATGTCAGGGGACAAGCTGTGCCAGGGAAGGGTGCCTGTGCCATGCCATGGGGACCAGCTTGGCCAGGAAAAGGTGTCCGTGCCATGCCAGTGGACAAGCTGTGCCAGGGAAGGGTGTCCATGCCATGCCAGTGGACAAGCTGTGCCAGGGAAAGGTGCCCACACCATTCCAGGGGAGCAGGCTGTGCCAGGGAAAGGTGTCCGTGCCACACCAGGGGACCAGCCATGACAGGGAAGGGTCATTGTGCCATGCCAGGGCATCAGCTGTGCCAGGAAGATGTGCCCATGCCATGCCAGGGGACAAGCTGTGCCAGGGAAAGGTGCCTACACCATTCCAGGGGACCAGCTGTGCCAGGGAAGGGTGCCTGTGCCATGCCATGGGGACCAGCTTGGCCAGGAAAAGGTGTCCGTGCCATGCCATGGGGGCAGGCTGTGCCAGGAAAAGGTGTCCGTGCCATGCCATGGGAGCAGGCTGTGCCAGGAAAAGGCGTCCATGCCATGCCAGTGGACAAGCTGTGCCAGGAAAAGGTGCCTACACCATTCCAGAGGAGCAGGCTGTGCCAGGGAAAGGTGCCCAGGCCATTCCAGGGGACCAGCTGTGCCAGTGAAGGGTGCCTGTGCCAGGAAAAGGTGTCCGTGCCACACCAGGGGACCAGCCGTGCCAGGAAAAGGCGCACATGCCATGTTGGGGAACCAGGCTGTGCCAGGGAAGGGTGCCCGTGCCATGCCATGTGCCAGGCTGTGCCAGGAAAGGGTGCCAGCACCATGCCGGGGGAGCGGGTTGTGCCAGGGAAGGGTCCCTGTGCCAAGCTGGGGAACCAGCTGTGCCAAGGAAGGGTGCCCATGCCATGGCAGGGGATGAGCTGTGCCAGGGAAGGGTGTCTTTGCCATGCCAAGGGACCAGGCTGTGCCAGAGAAGGGTGCCAGCACCATGCTGGGGGACCAGTCGGTGCTGGGGATTTGCCATGCCAGGGGAGATGGCTGTGCCAGGGAAGGGTTCCCGTGCCACGCCGGGTGTCCAGGCTGTGCCGGGTGCCTGTGCCACATCAGCTGCCTCAACTGTGCCAGGAAGTCATTCTGTGCCACATCCCCGTGCCATGCCACACATGCAGACCCTACCAGGTGCTGGTACCCTGCCAGATCCCCACACCATGCCACATCATCATGCCACAGTGGGTGCCAGGACTATGCCAGGTGCCAGTACCCTGCTGGGTCCCCATGCCATGCCCCATCCCCGTGCCATGCCATGCCCCCAGACCCTGCTGGCTCCTGGTACCCTGCTAGATGCCCACACCATGCCATATCCCCATGTCACAGTGGGTGCCAGGACCACACTGGGTGCCAGTACCCTGCTGGATGCCAACACCATGCCCCATCCCTGTGCCATGCCATGCCCCCAGACCCTACCAGGTGCCATTACCCTGCCAGATGCCCACACCATGCCACATCCCTGTGCCACAGTGGGTGCCAGGACCATGCCAGGTGCCTGCTGGTTCCCCGTGCCATGCCATGCCCCTGGACCCTGCTGGCTGCTGGTACCCTGCCAGATGCCCATGCCATGCCACATCCCCATGCCATGCCATGTCCCCAGACCCTGCCAGGTGCCAGTACCCTGGCAGATGCCCATGCCATGCCACACGCCACCGTCTCACCTGGAGCAGGAGGTGGTACTTGAGGATCCTCTGGACGGGTTTGAGCAGGTAGGCACCGAGGGGCAGCGCGTGGCGCAGCCGCTCCTGGCACTCGCGCAGGAACCGAGCCTGGGCCTTGCTCCTCATGCACTCTGCCAGCGCCGCCACCGAGCTGTGGGGCAGAGAGGGGGCTCAGCCCCATGCCCACCCCGTGCCCCCC